TATGTTGGAGTTTATTGAGAAGTTCTTGTTCTGACAAACCATCTATATTCCATTCATGGAGTTTATCAGAAAAGGTTGAGAATTGATTTTGGATATTTCTTTCTTCAAACTGAATATCAGGAGGAGTAGGTTTGGGATACCAGTTCTTTGTAAAAGATGTTGGATTAACACGGTTGTTGGTAATCCTTTTGAGTTCAAGATTTTCAAAAGCTTGTTCAACTTTTCTAATGGAATCTGAATCCGTTTCTGAGTCAGAGGATGTATGAGATATTTCCGATTGGGATTCATCAGGGTGATTTATGACATGAACTATTTTTTCCTTCTTTAATTCTAATAACATTTGGTCAAATTTTTAACTTGTGGAAATGGTTTTTAAGGCTATTGCCGTTGAAGAAGAGTCTGGAAAGTTAAGCAGGGGTTTTTCCCTAATTAACGATTTTGGCTGAGAAAGTTTGTCAATTTTAATTTCAATTTTATCAAGTTGTTTACCAATGGTATGAAGACTTTGATTAGTGAAGTTATTTTGTTCAATGATTGGTTTAACTCCTACATCTTCCTTAGGAAGCTTAAAAGGAGTAGCCGGAACTTTTTTTATTCGTAGTTTTGATGAGAATCGTTTCTTGCGGAGGATGGCCAGAGGAGACAATAGTCTTGTCTTCTTTAAGCCAATTTTCTTTAGTTATTACCTTTAATTTGTTTTTAGACTCATAGTACTTTTCAACATAATTGAAGAAAAATACTTCAAATCTATATGTATCCATAAAGTTTTTCCATTTTTTATATATTTCTAAATTTTCTTCTTGAGTATATTTATTCCTGAAAATATTCCTTCTTGGAATGTTTTCTTCAGCTTCAATATCAGCATTGAGCTGTTTTCTATTTGGTTTGAAGGGTTTGTTTAAAACTAAAAGTTGATAGTGAACCTGACCTGCGTCAAAATCAGATTCAGTGGGAGAAGTTAGTTCTCCTTGATCTTGGGTATGGGGTTGGTATCGTGGATGTGTAACCTGAGAGGATGTTTCTACTGATTTTAATTTGATATTAATCAAATCATTGATTAATTCTTGTTGAGTGACGAATGAATTAGTGTCTACTGCTTTCAGTTTCCAATTGGCTAATGAATTGATTAACTCTTGATCTTGACCCATCCTATCGGTTGGTATGGATCCAGAAAAAGAATTTCTGCTAAGAGCAAAAGATTTATGTGAGTGAACTGATTCACAAGATCTTATGGCTGGACGATTAAAAATTGATTTTGATAGTCCCATCAAAATATTGTTCTATGTTGTTTAGGTTGACTAAACTGTTTTGGATGGCTACTGGCTGACTTTCATTAACCAAACACCAATCTAAAGGTAGACTGATATTTGACCACCTATTGGTTCGAGGGACTTTAGTGTTTGCATTTTCTTGGTTAGTTTGAATTAAGAGTGTATGATCTCTAGGACTTTTGGTTAAAGCCTGGAAATTCATATTTGTGCTAGTGACTTTATAGTAGACTCTATAAATTAAAGCCAAGGGCTGTGTTCCTTCAAGGACTTGGTATCCTAAAGTTTTGGTGTTTAATGTGAGTGCTTTTAGCATATGGGGGTCTGAAAGACTTATAGTAAGGTCTGGAAAACAATCAAAATGGATAGGTCCATTGTAAAGACTGAATTCAATCATTCCAAGTATACTATCACTAAAGTTAGTGAATCTATCATCTTGGAGACATAACAAAATAGAGGTGTTTAGTCCTCTACGTGTTAAAGGTTTTACAACTATCTAAACTAAGCTAATGTGAATGTAATTATGACCATCTTTCTTATGGGATTTGATTTGTTTAGGTGAAAATAGTTGACAAGTTTCATGTTCTTTACTAAGAGTATAAGTTTTTTCAACAGTTTTAACATGATGTTCACTTCTAAATGAGGCTACTAACCATTTCTTTTTGTAAATATTTGTACTTGAATCCTTGGGGATATTCTAATCTCCAAAGTCAACACTTTCATCAATTTGAAAATCAAGTTTTTGTTCTTCATTAACAATATCTGGAATTACACCTAAACTGGACCTAGAGCTAGTGCTGGCCATTGAATTAGATCTAAATAATCTACTCATATATATATATATATACTTTTGGATTTGGAGAAGGAAGCAACCATACCCTGAATATATCTAAGGCTAATGAAAGACTTGAATTGTTTGTGTACTCTTCGCAGGCCACATAGCTGCAATTTCAAATTATATTATTAACTCTCTGTTGATGCACAAAACCGGAGGGGTCTTCGAACAACGTAAATTTGACAGTGAATCTGCAAGAAAGTAAATAACACAAGATGTATCGTGGTTCACCCCAATGTTTGGGCTACGTCCACACTGATTATTGTATTTCTCTGTGAGAGAGGGAGAGGGAGAAAGAGCTTCCTTATGTGAGGATGAGCTTCTCTGAATATGAGAGGGGATGTGAGGCTCTGAGAGGGTGAGAGTCAAGCCTAAGAATTGGCCTCCTTCAATGAGGAGAGTGAGGAGTCCTTTTATAGAATAAAGGCTCCTCACTTATTACATATTTGCCCCTTCCTTTATTACATAATTACATTTGAGTCCCCTGAGTATTTATACAAGATCTAAATACGGAGGCCCTAAGTATGGTACAAACAGTAGTCCCCCAAGTCTTCAGTCAAGAGAGTCTTTTGGCTAGAGACTTGAAATTCAGTCCATGTGTGGGCCAAAGTAACTAGATGTTGTTTTGAACTAATACTGGATATGAGGCGGTGCTCAAAGTGAAATGATGCTCAACTAGAAGTAGCACATGTTGTGAGACTGCTCTGCTTGTGCCTTATGTTGCCTTGGTTGGCTCGGCTTGTGGCGTTTGAAGTTGAGGGAGACCTTTTTATAGAATAAGGGCTCGCTCCTTAATATATAAATATGGGCTAGAGTTGATGCTCGCGGCGAGGCGGTTGCTCAGTAGGCGACGATGCTCTCTAATGATGGTGAGGGAGTCCCTTTTATAGAATAAGGGCTTGCTCCTCAATACATGAATAATGGCTAGAGTTGATGCTCTCTAATGATGGTGAGGGAGTCATTTTTATAAAATAAGGGCTCGCTCCTCAATACATGAATAATGGGCTAGAGTTGATGCTCTTTAATGATGGTGAGGGAGTCCTTTTTATAAAATAAGAGCTCACTCCTCAATACATAAATAATGGGCTAAGTCCCCTAAGTATTTTTCATGAGGCCCAGTTGAGGCCCAATATATGGTACATAATGTAGTCCCCCAAGTCTTCGGTCAATAGAGTCTGTTGGCTGGAGACTTCAAATTGAATCCATGTATGGGTCGAAGAGGCGGTTGTTCGGAGACGGTATTTGTAGACCATGCACTGAAGCTTTGTAGGTGAAGCTTTACAAGTGAAAATTTTGAAGCTTGAGCTTTTGTAAATGACGCTTTGAAAGTTGGAGCTCTGTAAATGAAGCTTTCGAAGCTGATTGACATGAGTGATGCTCATGAATGTTGACATGAGTGATGCTCATGAGTGTTGACATGAGTGATGCTCATGAATGTTGACAAGAGTGATGCTCATGAATGTTTATGTATGATTGATATGAGTGATGCTCATGAATGTATATGTATGACTGATATGGGTGATGCTCATGAATGTTTATGTATTATTGACATGAGTAGTGCTCATGTATAATTTTGAAGTAGTGAGCATACTTTTGATCACCTAGTGGGTGATAATAGCGGCAGGCTGCCGAATAATTTTGGAGTATTGGGCATACTTTTGATCACCTAGTTGGTGATAATAGCGGCAGGCTGCCGAATAATTTTGGAGTACCGGGCGTACTTTTGATCTCCTTGTTGGTGATAATAGCGACAGGCTGCCGAATAATTTTGGAGTACTGGCATACTTTTGATCACCTGGTTGGTGGTAATAGCAGCAGGCTGCCGAATAATTTTTTGTAGTACTCGACGTACTTTTGATCACCTGGTTGGTGATAATAAAGGGCTGACTCTTTTGGGCATATGGGTCTTTGCCCTCCACATAACATTGCGGCCCATTATTTTGGGCTTGCCGTTTTTTTTTCTTTATTTTTTTTTATTACTCTCTGATGGGGTTTATACAGATGTCTCCGAAAAATAAGAAAAATAAATCACATCATTCAAAACAAAGGTTTCGACCCTCTGCTCAATGGGTCATGCCCACAATTCCTTTTTTTGCATGTCATCACCACCGCAATTATGTCTGCTTCTTTTTATTTTATTTTGCTTTCTGCTTTTGCTTTCTGCTTTACTTTCTGCTTTTCTCCACTTGCATATATGAAAACGTGGGTGGCTGCCTTATGCTAGAAATTTCATCGTGTGTGACCAGACATAAAGTGACCATGGTACCTGTAAATGTCCATTTCAAGAATAATGGGTCCATTTTTCAGAGCATGCTCCTTTGCAGATTTGTATGCCAACTTTACAGCAAACACACCCATACCGTCCACCATTAAGATTCAGCTCAGCTAACTAAAAAGTTACCCTTCTCTCATGGCTTTCCTGGCCAGCGGTGTGCCATGTCTGGGCCTTCTCCACGGCGACTTGATCCGCCTCCGCCGCTGCTGATTCTAATTAGGGATCATCTTGCTTTTGATGGGCTTCAGAACCGTTATAGCCTGTATCAAAATAAAGATCATCGAACAGAGACTAAGAACAATCATTTTCAGAAGAAACCCACCTCCTGATTTGCGTTAATTTGGCTTGAAAGCTTCACGTTTATGTTGGTTTTCTACAAACTTCATTAAACACTCTTCGCAATGAGATCCTCAGTCAGATCAGCTGCATCTTGAACAGTGGCGATGGTCTGGGCATTTTCTTCCTTCATGGTGATGCCAAATGCCTCCTCAAGCCCCATCACAATCTCAACTGTGTCAAGAGAATCGGCACCAAGTTCTGAAAACTTTGAGCCAGCAGACACATCCATGTCTTCAGCTAAAGCCAGCTGCTTCTTCACTAGGCTACACACCTTGGTGATAATCTACGGTTTGGCCGCACAAGAAATTTGGAGGCGCCTAGGTTGGGAACTCAGAGATGGAAAACGCTTTCCAGTGACGGAAAAGGAAACTGATTTCAAACCAGAGCTCATGCTGCCAGGTGCCAAAGTGGGCTTGAATGAGATGGAAATGGTAGCAGAAGCTTGGGCGAGGAAAGTCATTGACGTCGACAGAGGAGAAATCACTATTTGAAACCCTGCCGCATGCCAAATCTGACAGAAGAAGGCACCGCCCTTAGTGTGAACAACGTCAACAACAGGTTTCCATGCTTCGACTTGCTCCCTTGTCCAAATATCAGGCATATCCGCGTACCCTCGAGCAGTATTCGAAACTTCGACAGCTTCAGCTATAAGAAGACCCCCTTTTGATGTTCTCTGCGAGTAATATAAGACGGCATGTGGCTGAGGAACATTGTTGTACGATCTTTGTCTAGTCAGCAGTGCTAAAACAATCATATGAGAAAGATCGAAGTTTCCCAGTTTGTAGGGAGTAAGAAGAGGAATTGTGGGAGGTGCTGGTTGAGCAGACATATCTGTTGTCTGACCTAATCTTGATCTTGCATTTGGTTTTTGCTTTTGCTTTTGGTTGTCGATTCAGTAACGGGTTCCGGTCCGGAATTTCTTCACGAACGAAACGCCGTCGTCTTGCTGCTACTGTTTTGAGAGGAGTAGAGCGGGACATAGAGTCTCGTTGATTCTAGATCTTTACTGCTTGGAAATCGCCTTCACTAACTCAGCGAGTTGACTCACTACTGACCTGCTCGTATCTTCTCTCGTTGGACCCATGTGGGATTGGGAGCTGAATTGGACTGGGAGAAGTTTGAGCTGAAGGTTTTAGGGGAGATGGAGAAGGCTCAGATGAGCAAACCGAAGGATTAGGATTGGGATTGGGAACGTATCCAGCAAAAGTGAATGGCTTTGTGGGTTTTGATGTTGGTTGTGATTTATTGCAATCTTCTTCTGAGAAGAAGAGGTTTAACTCATATGCTTATTATGCAAAAGAAAAGCCCATTATTCTCACACCCATATCTCTTTCTGGAAATCGAATGGGTGTGTCTCTATGTGGGTTTTGTAGATTCACGGTGGAGATGAAAAAAATGAAAGAGAACTGACATAGTTTTTTATGTCGTTTCCTACAGACGGCGCCAAATGTTGATGCACAAAACCGGATGGGTCTTGGAATAACGTAAATTCGACTGCGAAACTGCAAGAAAGTAAATAACACAAGATGTATCGTGGTTCACCCCAATGTTTGGGCTACGTTCACATTGATTATTGTATTTCTCTGTGAGAGAGGGAGAGGGAGAGAGAGCTTCCTTATGTGAGGATGAGCTTCTCTGAATATGAGAGGGGATGTGAGGCTCTGAGAGGGTGAAAGTCAGGCCTAAGAATTGGCCTCCTTCAATGAGGAGAGTGAGGAGTCCTTTTATAGAATAAGGGCTCCTCACTTATTACATATTTGCCTCTTCTTTTATTACATAATTACATTTGAGATAGTAAAAGCTTTACACGTGTGTATCAGTTAGCTTTACACGTGTGTATCAGTTGCGATAGTAAAAGCTTTACACGTGTGTATCAGTTGCGATAGTAAAAGCTTTACAAATGAGATTGCAATTGAAGGTTAAACCCCTCAGTCGTCATATGTGTTCACAAAATATAAACTGATTGGTATGTTTAAGCAGCGATGATGATACTTTTGGTCTAGCATAGTTAGCAATATGTGTAGTACATGTATTACCCTAATTTTATCTTCAATATTAATCATTAGAAGACTAAAATCTCTTCTCAAGCTTGTAAAGAAGCTTGAGTTTAAATTCATTTTCCTACTTTAAACAAAACTTTACCCAGATACCTCAAATAATCGGAATCATACAAAAACCAAGCATCCTAGTAGCTAGCTAGTACATGAAATCGTGGTTTCACTGATTATATTAAAAATATTAGGAAATTTTTTAGACACGAAAAAACACAAATAAAGTTTGAAAAATCACTTACTGAATGCCCAAGATAGAGATCCTTATTTCCAGTAACCTTTCTAATCATGGCTAGCCATCTTCCATGTTGATAACGTCTGCTACACACAGAAGAAACAAAACAAAGAGATTTTAGTGATTTTTATTTGGTATATATATTATTTCTCATCGATATTTTATCTAAATTATTATATAAAATTATGAAGAGCTTATAAGACCTTGTAATTCTTCTGTAAATTGAAGCCCCTCTTGAGAATCCACTGTTTTTCTTGTGAAGACCACATTATGTTAGTAATCGATTAGCATTTAAACATTGTTGTATATATAAATCTACCGAATGCATGATTAGTAGCATGAACTAAAACAATAGTAACCAAGACTACAACTCCTACTCAAAGGTAAATTCTTTTTCCAAATGAAAACTGTGTTTGGTGGGCTGGAGGAATACAAAAAACTGAAACTTTTTGAAAGCATAGAAACAGAGTGAAGATACAATTGGAAGTAAAGTTTGAAATCTTACCGAGGGGCTTTAAAAGAATCACAAAATTGTTTGCTGATCATTTTGCACTTTGGTGAATGGTATTAGTAGAACGACTTTTCTGTTTAACAAAAGTACAAATCTTATCAACAAAATTGTGAAGCGTCCATTAAAGATTCATTATAGTATTAGTGTAAGTAGTTAATTTGTAAATTTGTTACATATGGGATCATTTATAACGGTAAGAAACAAAGGAACAGATGATATATATATTGGTCACATATTAAACATTTGCCAAACTATCACACACTAAACCTGTTTTGTTATTGTATTTATACAATTTGCAGTTGTGGATCAAAGTTGGTGAGAGAAATAGATTATAATACCTCTTTAGTTTACGATTGCAGAAGCCATACAATCTTATATTTGTTGTCCTGTCCTTTGATCCTTTTATAGTAAACAATCAGAAACTTCTATCAATAACTTTTCCAATGCAGGTAGTAAAATGGAAAAATTAGAACTCTCAAATTATATTGTTGTATAATATTAAATAATACCTATGTGCAACACTTCATGTAAAAGTCCTTCTTCCTCATACATTTGACAAACTTGCAAACAATTAGTCCAGCCACATGGTATATTTGAAGATGCTGCACAGTCAGAGTGCAATCCTAAAAATCACAAACATGCAAAATTCGAATCAAATATGTAAGTCATTTAGCATTTTATTCATAAATGACTAACATAATATACACAAAAAAGAAAATTACTTGAAATTGCAACCGTCCTAGCAGCAAATGAACCAAATTAATCTGAATAAAAAACAAACCCCATTAACTAAAGGTTCTCACTTCTCACCGTACAAAAAAATGACAAAAGGGAACCAGTCCTAACTTTTTTGAGACCCCAACAAAAAGTTGCAAACTTTCAACAGCTAAATAATGAATATTAAAATCAAAAGTCTCATGAGGCATTTCCTTTAAAGGTTCCCAATTCTCAACCCACCAATTTGTTTGGCAACACATTGATCAGATCCAATTGGTACATATGATATACAGCCTCTGCCATGCAAATGGTTTGTTCCATTTCTTTTCTCCAGTTCCCAAATCTATAGATACGATTGTAATAAAACATACATGGCCCTCACACATTGCAACCCTCTAGCAATCTAACAAAAAGAGATTTATGTCAAAAGAGAAGAAGAAAATGAGCTTTAAATGCGAGTTGTTTGGTGTGGTTTTCATTTTCTCTTCTTCTCTTACAAACTAAGCATACACCTATCCATCCATCTTCCCTTTATGTATAAATCTATTTACACACACGTATATTCACACACACATATATTTATATACACAGACAACGTTGAGTTTGCCATTTTAAATGTTGCTTTGGCAAAGCAAACATAGAGCAATAAAAGATAAGTTTCTCATATGCCCAAGTACAATTTTCCTTCTCTTTAGGTGCCTTAATTTGTAAGGCAAGCCTTTACACACACACACACACACACACACTAATAAATAAAAAAAGAGGTATTTAGAACTGCTTTACAATTCTATCCTGTTCCAGTTACAACTTCCTATAATTATTGTAAAAGTATTAGAGAAAAAGCATTCTCATGTGCACTCAGAGAGTCAGAGTCCTAGTCCAAGTCAAGCCATAAAGAACATTGTATATTAATATGAACATAGTCATTGGCCAATATTAATTTAATCAGAAATTTTTGTGTCAGCAACAATGTCAGGAACAAAAATCAGAAAAATCATCATAGAAGTTGTACCCCCTTGTAAAATGAACATAACAAAGTTCAGAATCCCAGAGAATTATAGCATTGAACAATTTAGGCAACAAATGGGCTGAACCAGTAAAAATGAAAGTGTTTTGCAATAAGGAAGAATAAAAATAAACAAATCATACCATAGTGCCTTCAAGAGGTCATCTCTTTTCACATCAGAGTACTCATCATTCAGCTAAACAATGCATAAAGGGGGAAAAAGCAGCATATCACATACCAATGCAATTAAAGAGTCTAAGATTGTAAAGAACTAAATGGAAACATAAGGGAAGCAGCAGCCCAAAAATCATTTAAGAAACAACGGCAGAGCAAGCAGACATTCAAACAGAACCCTTATTATCCGTTGTCTAGGGCAACCATACAAAACCCAACAAATCTCCTCAAATTACAAATGGGAGCTCTTTTTTTAGGTGATTTGTTAGTTTTTATTTGGAAGCCAAATCAACTGGGAATTTGAGAAAAATGAAAAACCCAAAGCTAATTAAATTCAAAAACAACAATCCACAATGAAAGTGAAAAACTTGGGGAGATGAAATACCAAAAACCCACCTAATTCAAAACCTAAGTAAAATCCTTAATTAAACTCCAACTACAAACCTGAATTAAAACTTCAATTAAACTCCAAATTAAACTATTAATAAATGACACACCCCATCCTGAAGGAGGGCATGCTGGCCGTCACGTGAGAGTGACATAACCATTTACATAGTTTGGAAGCTTTAAAGATACAATTACTAAGATGTAACACCCGAGGGTGAGTCATACTTTTGTGAATTCTGTCAGAACACCGCATCTCTGTCTGGGGGTGTGTCAATAAAACCCAAATTAAATCATCAATCAGGAAAGATAAAATACAAATGGGGGTTTAAGAGGTGTACCTATAGTGAATGAGTGAGTCAGTGGGTGAGTGATGCTGCGACTATGAGAGGCTGAGAAGAACACGGAGATGGGATCAAAGAAGATCAATGATCTACAGCAATGGCACTGAAATCCCCACTCTTCCCTTTCCTTATCTCAATGTCGCTTTGTCTCTATCTCCCTCTCTCCTTCTCCCTCTCCTATCTCTATCTCTATCTCCATCAGCATGGCCTCCTAACTATGAAACCCTCAGCAAGCGATCCTTACTCCCTCTCCCACTCTCTCTTTTGCGCTGTCTCCCTCTCCCTCGAATCGTACACCCCCTGTGACTTTGTCTGCCTGCAAGCCGCATGCCTTCCTCTCACGAAATCCCTATCTCTCTCCCTCCGTGTCTTTCTTCTCTCTCTGCTCGGTCAGTCTCTCTCTCCCG